TCGGACTATACGCCACGAACCGTCTCGAACCGAATCGCAGTCGGACCGCCGCCGCGCCGCACTCGAGACGCAATCGGCTCGCCGGGCGCTTCGCCGTTTTCGGCCTCTGGGGGCCCTCGCCGGGCCCCGAGACCGTCAGAACACGACTCGAGACGAACCAACCGCCCCTGGGAAAGGCACGGGACTCGCACGCCACGAAAACATGTACACAGACACCCTCCAACGAATCTTGCATGTACCCTCAGAGAGGGCGGCCCTCAATTGCGACTCATGTAGCGCAACCCTGCCCTGAAGCACAGGAACCAACCATTGGAGGATGTATGTGTGCAAATTCTTGTGGCGGACAATCCGATCGCCGCGCCCGGCTCTGGCTGGCCCCGGCCGATGCCAACGAATGCAACGGGATCGGATCGAATCGCAATCTTCTGTTGCATCTTCGGCGGACCTTATCTGTCCCGTCGCGGCCCTATCCGCGCCGAATCCGTGTCGGATCCATGTCGGTCTCGTCGGATCCGCGTCGAATCCGTAGCGAATTCACGTCGAGTCCACGCCAAACCCGCGTCGAGTCCGCATGGAGCCCGCATCGGCCACCAGACAAAGACACCAGTGTGGGGGACGGGGAAGGGTCCCCGAAGAGTCGCATGGCAACCATCGATTCGAGTCGACTCGGAACATCGAGCGTCGCTGGCCCTGCCTGCCCGCCGCGGGCGGGGGCGGCCCTGTCCAGGTGGAGCTCCTCCAGCCTCCTCGAGGGAGAGGGCCGAGGCAGAATGGGCGGCGCGCAGAGTGAGGGGCAACGACGGGGTGGGACTGGCACGGGGAAGAAATATCGACCTGGCATCGGCGAGACAGGAGCTCGACCACAAGAAACGTCCACAAGGAACCCAACCCTGAGTCCCCAGGACGTCCTCCGATTGTTGGTGTGTGCACGACGGGCTCTCCATAGCAAGACCATCGAAACCCAAGAAACCTGGGGCACCCTGGAGGCAAGCAGGGTGTTTTTGCATGGGCGTCCACTTGATCGATGGCCCCGACACGATGGCGCCCAGAGGTTTCCGAGAAGCCTTCGTGAGGGCTTCTGGGAAGCGGGAGGGCCCAGTGTCGAATCGATAGAGGTCGGATCGGAGATCGGAGCGAATCGGACCGCCGGACACCGCCAGCCAGATCTGAGGAGAGCACGGTCCACCCCCCCAAACCCCGCCCGGACTCCCACTCCCAGCCTGGTGATCCCGGGGGTCGTGGCTGAAGGGGGGGGGGGTTGTCTCTCGGGCCCCCAAGGAGCCCCGAACAGCCGCCCACACCCCTAGCCAGGACCCGCTGGATCACGAGGTCGGGAGTGGGGGTCCTGGTGGGGGTGGGTCGAGATGTCCTCCAAATCGGGAGAAGCAGAGTTCGCGGAGATCGGCAGGCTAGCAAAACCTCCATCGAGAAACCGAAATCAGAATCGGAATCCGAAATCGAATCGACTCGGCATCGGAAACGGAATCGAGCTCCAATCGGATCGAATCGAGGCGGAGGCGTCGGAATGAGCCCCGAGGAAGGGCCCCTACCTTCGAAAGAGGCCCCCCGCCTTCTCCCAAGACGCCACCTCCCTCCGAGGCGGAGGCGCCGGAATGAGCCCTGAGGGCCCCTGCCTTCGAAAAGGCCCCCTGCCTTTTCTCAGGACGCCCCCCCCCTCGCCTGAAGCCAAAAAAATGGCTATAGTCCCCTGAGTGCGCATGAGTGCGGTGCTCAGCACGTGGGGGGGGGGCTCACGCGCTCCCCGGTGCACAGGACGGACATGTATCCCTGTGGCCAGAGGCGGCGCCCGTGACGGGGAAAGGGAGCCCCCCCCCGCTCCTCCGGGGAGGGGTGGGGCGCGCGGGCCCCGATGGGATGGGTGATCGCCCATACTTCTGGATGACATGGCCATGGACGCTTTAACCGTTCTATCGTTTGATTACACATGTCTTTCAGATGCCTTCTGCATGCCTTAGCATGTCTTTCGGGTGTCTTGTACATGTGTAAAGATGTGGGAACCTCGAAAACATGGTCCAGCAGTTTCAAGACATGTGTGAAACATGTTTTAGAGACCTGGCAAGTATTTGGCAACATGGCCCTTCTCCATTGATCGTTTTCCACAAGCCCATACGCTGCGGGCAATCAATCAATCCATACATACATATATATATATATATAATATATATATATATATATATATATATATATGTACATATATATATATATACACATACCAGTGCGTCTTGGCGTTTGTTCGAAAGACCACCACAAGGCCGAGGCGCACTGGATATGGAGAAAGATCGAGCCTCCAAGGGGGCAGATGTTTTACCAATATCCAGTGCGCCACGGGCTTCTGGGGAAGGGAGCCCACAACTCCAAGCTGCAGTGGATGTGTACAGAAATACTGCCCGCAATACGCGGCCACTAGAAGAAATCCCGACACTTTCCCTATGAGATCAATCTCGCCTACTTGGTCGTTTCTCGACGGCCCCGGGACCCCGCGAGGACCTCCAGCAAGGGCCGCTGAGAATACCCGCAAAATGCCCCGTCAGGATGTTTCAGGACGCGAGCACGCCAAGGGCACTTCAGCGCCTTCCTGATGGGGACTGCACTGACGGGTACTTTGGCCAGTGACCGGGCGAACCCAATCCTCCCCGACGTGGGCAACGCTGCAATGCCAGAAAAAGGCCCTGAAAAGGCAACACTCGGCAACTTTCTAACGTACCCGTTAGTGAATACCCGTTACGGTGCCGCTGCGCACCGTGTCCCCCGCCTGGGCCGGTCCTCCCCGTCGGCGCCCATTAGGGCGCCGCCGCCTGGGGGGGGCCCTGCACGGGCGAAGAGGAGCTGGCCGCGGGCGCCCCCCACTCGCGCAGAGTCGATCGGCATCGCCAGTGTCTGCGCCGGCGAACACATCCGTATCCGTTCCCTCGCGGTCTGGACTCCGGGGCGCGATCCCGCGGATACGCGGTCCCACGGGTACGCCCCGCGCGGGGCATCCGCGAACAAACAAAAAACATACCCACGGGGTCGTGGCCCCAGGGCCCGGCATGCGAGGCCGCTTGGGCGACTGCTGCTCTCCGAGACAGGCCGCCCGCATCGACCTTGCCGAGTCAACCGTAATGATAAGCAATGAAAGTACCCTCAAGACTTTGGGAGTGGACCTAAATGAGAAGGGCCTCAGAAATTAGGGATAGGGGGTCTTGTTGCAGATGTCCCAGACAGAACCAGACCCAAAGTTTAAAGAGAACCTAACCACAGAGGACCTAAGTTAGGCCACGAATTCATTCAGTTATCAGGTCTAGGGATTGTACTATGCTGAATGTCGTGAGTCTGGGCTTGCAGGGGCCTTGAAGGCTGGGCGGCGTCAACACTCGTATGATGTGACGACGCCCTCCCCTCACAGGCCTCGAGCTCCTCCAGGCCCCTGGGGTCGACAACCCCAAGGCGAGGACACTCCAGGTGCGCCCTTAGAAGCAGATTTGGTCGAGGGGGGGCAGATATTTGCGCTACTACGCCCGAGCCTTCGTGGGCGGAAAACGTACCCACATCCACTTCGGTGGCAACTCGTGGGAGCCTCCCATACCACCGTGCTGGCTCTCGCGGATCGACGCGAACTCGACGCTGATCGACGCTAAATCCACGCTGATCGACGCTGGATCGACGCTGATCGACGCTGGATCGACGCTAGTCGACGCTAAATCGATGCTGATCGACGCTAGCCGACGCCAAATCGGCGCTACCTCGACAACTCCCAGACGATAATCGACACTAAACGATGCTGTAGACGGACTTACGAAAGAATACCAGGCTCCAATGATTTGCTATCAAAGCAAGCGGTCATGGGGTCTGCGCCACATGGGCCCCGAGAAAACCTGTCAAAAGGGCGGACGAAGGAACACCCGCCCCAAGTCTGTCCCCAGTCCCCTCCTGAGCAGAACCTGCACCAGTTTTCCGAGACGCGTCCAGCCGTGGCGACAAGGGGGGGCCCTGGTCGGGGGTGCCCCCTTCTCTGCTGGCCGGAGCCACTGGTGGGCCACCTCAGCCGCAGCGCCCCAGCCGGCTCCCAGACATGGAAATTTGAAAACAACGCACGGAAGCTGATGGTCGTCCCCACGGCGCCCAATAGAGCGCCAAATCACGCGGGCATACCATTCGGCGCTAACAGGCGATATTTGGCGCTGGTGAACGTTAGTTGGCGACTTCCACACCGGCATTCAAAGCGAGACGAGCGGAAACTTCTGAGAATTACTACTCATCTAAATGGATGCGTTCGTCGCTCGTGGGATCTGACTGCAGCTTCCCGAGCCTCCATCCCAAGGCCAGCTCCGAGCCTTTCTCCGACTGCCCCGAAGCCCGAAAGCGGCCGAGGCTGAAATGGCGACGGACCCAGGCAAGTTTGCTTGCATGGAATCCCCCCCCGACGCCTGTTCAAGCAACGCTAAACCGAACAGGCGTGCAAGCGAGTCCCGACTTGCGCGGAGTCCAGAGCACCTTCCAGGCCATGCCTAGCACCCTGCACCCATGAAAGTGACCTCGCTGGCGTCGAATGGAAGTCTTCTCGATGGGATCCGAGCAGATGGGGTCGGAGGATCGCGCCTCATCGCCGATGCATGGGCGACGTCGGCGTGGAAGAGCTCTGACTCCATATCGAGCCGCGTGCCGGATGCATCGGCGATGCGACGCGCTCCACCAACTCCGTCTGCTCTGACCCCATGAGAGGACTAGACTTTCGCGCCTCGCCACGCCTCCCCCCGTTGCAAAAACCTTGATGACGCCGAAAAACCCAAACGGCCTCAGCCCTTTCCAGGCCCCCGTCGGAGACTCCGAAGGGTGTACCTTGCAAAGGGTGCGGTTTGCAGCCAGCGCCTGGGGGGGGGGGGGCGGGCGAGGACCTCCGCGCCCCGACGAGGGCTCATCAAGCCTTTTGGCGCACCGTGGTGACCCCTCATCAGCACCAACGGCGCCGATCACCCGTTGTGCGGGACGCACAAGGACATGCTGCCGTGCGCCCGGCCCGAGCAAGTAGTACCAACATATTGCAAGACATCGTTTCCCGAGCGGTATGGTTAGACAGCGCCCGCCGCGGAGCTTATACTATCAGAGCCCCGGGCGCGGGCGTCGCCCCTTGGGGGGGCGACGCACACATGGTACTGGTATGCTACTGTGACGCCGAGTTGTGGTCGCCGGCCGAAAGTAGTGGACCAACAAAAACAAACGACACCACCCCACCTACGGCCCCACGGGGCGTAGTTGTACCAGCAAATCTGGGGTGAGCTTTTCAATGGTAGACTAGAAGCCTACTAGATGGGGGTGGAGTAGATGGGGTCGGAGGATCGCAAGTCATCGCCCATGCATCGCCGATGCATCGGCGATGCATGCGCGACGTCGGCGGTGCATCGGCGACGCCAGCGGAGAAAATCGGGCTCCACATCGAGCCGCATCGGCGATGCATCGGAGACGCGGCGCGATCCTCCGACCCCATCCACTTGGACCCCATCCAGGAGGCCTTGATTTGCGCTACGGCGCCCGATGGGCCGTAGCGCAACATGGACGACCGTAGGTGGGGTGGTGTATGTTGTCAATTGGTCAACGTACGCCTTGCCCAGCCCCCCCTGAGGAAACCGAAAGGTACCAGTACCGCCACTCCCCGGACCTCTCCCGGGGCGCGTTCTGACCAGGACTTCGAGGCGAATCCAGCGGTGGCGACGAGGGCTACCCAGGAGGCCCAAAAAAGGCAACACGAAAGAAGGGTATTTGGACGCCCGAAATGGGTACGGAAAAAATTGGTACAATGCCAAACAACAAATGTTGTCCCAAACCAACAGCGGCCGCTGTTGGGCAGGCGGCCTTCTGTGTCTCAAACGGACACAGGCCGCGGCGGCGCGGACAGCGAGCCCTGTTCAAAATGATCAGGATCCGCTGTGGGGCATTGCACCCATTCTTTCCGTACCCATTCCGTTCGTGCCGAGGGCATGGCAGGTCCGCATAGTGTCAACCTTGAACGATCGGTCGTTTCCGCAACGTCCGATCGTTCAACGTCGACCGATTCTGGGCCGTCAAGCCGGCGGCGAGGTCGCCGCCGGTCGACACGACGCGAACCTACCGCAGGGGCATGGGTACCTCCTCCTCCTCCGACCCCCGGTCCTCAGGGCCAGCTCCCGGTGCCGCCGCAGCTCGGCGTCGAGCTCGCGGCGGGAGGCCGCCTGCCGCTGGGCGACGCGGCTCCGCACGGCGGCCCGCGCGGCGTGGCCGCGGCGCACGCTCTGGATCCTCCTGGCGACGAAGCCAGGACGGGGAAAAGCTTCGGACAAATCGAGAATCCCTGAGATCCCGCGGCTCCCTCATAATGGGATGCTGGAATTGGCCGCGAGCGCTCGCGACCGACGAGATCGGTCGCTTCCGGTGTTGCTCCACATTTCGGTATCCGTCGTGATCGTTTTGCTTCAAAATCGGTCGCGACCGGTTTGAGGATCGGTCGCGATCGGTCGTGACCGATTTGGAGTGTCGATCGGTCGCTAGCGATCGCGACCGAACAGAAATCGGCGAGGATCACTTCGGACAGCTCGAGAATCTCTGAGATCCCGCGGCTCTGGAGGACGTGTCGGGCGCCGCAGCCTTCTCGGAGCGCTCTGGAATGCTCTGAGAGCGCGTTCCGCGACGCTCTGTAACGGACTTATCCTCGTCCCAGCCCCGCCCGGTTCCTGGGGTCAGCGGGGGACTGCGGGGGGATCAGTCAAGATAGAATCGGGAAATCGAGTCGAATCGTACTGTGCATCGGATCGGGCCGCATCGGCACGGGACCAGAATCGAACCGAACCGGCCTCGCCAGAATTCAAAGCAACGCCATGCGAGCATCGGTCTGGATCGGATCGCTGGGATATCGGATTCGAATAAGATCGGGCTGGCCGAAGTCGATAACGAATCGGATCTATCAGGTCAAACTGGGCCTCGCTGCGGGGGACGACAAGCTGAGGAGGCAGCTCTTGGACATCTTTAGAATGATTGAGGACTACTGTTGAACCCGATCAATGGGCCATTGAGCTGGATTAGGGTGGATTCGGCCTGGGAGTGGGCCAGAATGAGCGGGATGATTGGGTGAGAATAGGCAAACGCTGGACCAGACCAGCGCCGATTGTAAATTTAACCTCCCAGGACGATAATCGAGGCCTCCATAACAAGGTCAGATTAGATGGGATCGGAGGATCACGCTGCATCGTCCATGCCTGAACCGATGCATCGGCGATGCATCGGCGACGTCGGCGATCCATCGGCGCCGTCGTCGAGGAGAACGTCGGGTCATACGTCGAGCCGCATCGCCGATGCACCACCGATGCATCGATCCTCCACCCCCGTCTACTAGTACCCAATCTGGGAGGCCTAAGGGTCCAGGGGGACGAACTTCGGACGCCCTCAATCGGTCAAATGATCACACCGCGTCGTGAGTTGCAGTCGGACCTAGGCCAGAAGAACATCCCTCAAAAACATGAGAGCCTTCGTCGGCCAAATCAAACAGAGCATCCAAGGGTACCTTCGCAGGGGTGCACAAGGACTTCTAACAAGCACGAAGAACATTAGGGAACCCTCCTCGAATCGACCTCGGCCTTGTACCCTGGTCCGACTGTAGTGAGGGATTTGGGGGTCACTGCCCCGGTTTGGGTCACAGGCCATTCCCCGAGGACACCTCGGGCGGCCGGGGCCTCCACGAGGGCCCAGGGTCGTGCGGCGACGGACCTCGCGGCGAGGCCACCGCGCGCCTCGTCACCGCACGGTTTTAGCGTGTCGACACCCGCGAGAGCTCAGCCGCGGGGGGCCTCGTCGAGCCCGAATCGGCGGCGCATCGCCGACAGATCGGACACGGGCCGCCGGCAGCACCAGGAGCGGACCCTCCCGGAGTCCCAGAGCTTCCTGGGGGTCGGAGGGGGACTGCGCGGGGGACGATCGGCGGGGGCCCCGGAGATCCTGGCGTCGCATTGTGTCGCAACCGGCGAGGTCGTCCTGCTTCGGGCCATGGGGACCATCGCGGATCGATAGAGCTGGGAAAATGCGGCAGAACGAGTTGGTCCAGGGTTATGTTGCTCCCATCGTCTTCAGGACCAAATCCCAGACATAATTTCGAGCACCCAGAGAAGTTGTGAACGTGTCTGCGAAGTGTGGAACGAGCATCTCCTCCCAAGGCCCGACGCGCGAAAACTCTCGAGTTTCGAGAATTTTCGTGGCGCTGAAAACTCTTCCTGGTGGTCAAGGCTAGATTCGGTGGGCAATCAAAAAATCAAGGGTTCTTGCCGTGGCTTCTGAAATGTTGCGCTCATGTCGTGACGTCGGATCTTAGGGGCCACTGCGCTGGAGCGGTAGATGTCTCCGGCGTCTTCTTGTCCAAGGCTTCGGCCCTTGGAAGCCGCGTCCGGGCCCCCCGTGGGACAGTCCGAAGACGGCTCGGGAAGGCCAGCGAGCCCTCGGGAACGGGTCGAACATTCCGTGGCCCCTGGTGAATGCTTTTCAAGGTTTCGGTCTTCAGCGGCCGATTTCGGGCCCAGAGACCGTTAGAAAACAGTCGAAGCCTCTGGGAACCCCGACAGAAGAAAAATACCTACGTCGAATGGGGACCTCCCTCCTGCGCCACCTCATCCTCGCCCCCATCAACCTTACCCACTTCTCCTCCACCAGCTGCTACTGCTAGTCCTCCTGTTCCCCATCCATCGTGAGGGGCAACATCAGTCAGGGGGGACCGGTTCAGGGGGAACATCGAGCTGGCATCGGCGCTGCATCAACGATGAATCGAAGATAAACTCTCGATAGTGAATCCACACTTTCCTTGGCGGGGTGGACTATCAGGTCCTTATCGGCGATCACTGGGCGGTCTGGGGTTCGCTAATTCGACCCCCACTGAGCATACTCTTCCCCAGAACACAGCCCCTGAACAGTGCTGCTACTACGAGTCCTCCCACTCTTTACATTACGTAAGCATAAGCACCAAAGCTGTTGCGCTCCGCTGATGAAACAAAATCAACTGAGGAAGAATGATGCACAAATTAAAGCTGCAAGAAATGAGAAAAATGAAAGGCAAGGGAAATTGGCAAGAGGAGAGGTGCCCGCGAGGGCGTAGAGTGACTAAGCGAGCAAGCAGCCTGGGGGAGAAGGAGTATGCAGTACGCAAGGGCGAAAGCAATCGACGCTAATCGACGGTGAATCGACGCAAATAGACGCTAACCGACGCAAATCGGCGCTGCATCGGCGCTGTATCAACGATTACCTGACGCTACTCAATCGCCAAAGACGGAATCAGAACGGCACACCTGGCTCTCATTGTTTGCTAGCAAGTCGGGGTTGATTCGTGGGGACCCGCGAGAGGACACAGGGTCCTTCCGATGGCCACATCGCCACAGGAATGCAGAAGGCATGGGCCGCGAAACACAGGACGAAAGGGCACCCTTGATCTTGCAGCGTCGACCTGCTGCTCATCGGGGGCGGCCAAGGGGTGGCGTCCAAGAGGGGGCGGGCGCCAATCATGGCCGGCCGCACGTGCGCGGGCCAAGGGGGGCGCCAAGGGCGTAACGAAGTTAGAATTAAGTCGGGCACGTCCCCCTACAGGGGGATTTTCGGCGAAAAAAAAAAAACAAAATTCCCCAAGACTGTTCAAAAATAGTGGAAAAAATAGTCCCCCGACTATTTTTTGACTATGTTTGAATATTCCTCCTGTAGAGAGAGACAGGCCCGACTCAAAGTTAGAAGCAGCGCCATGAAATCTGGTGAGATATCATGGCCCCCGCCATGATCTCCCCCCCCTGGTAAACACCTCCCTTTTTGGCCGCCCCCGAACTAATCAATATCGCCTGTACCGAACTCCTCCTCCGTCTACTCATCCACCTTCGAAGGCCCCGGAAAGGGCAAGGCCGTCCTGTCACCGTGTCCGACAGAGCGTCTCTTCAAGATGGAATCGGCAACACAATGGCGACCGGCAACGTCGACAAACACGGCTCCAAGAGTGGAACCGGAGCTG